TTCAGAAAATCTTTTTAGGACCCCACCTTGATGTTTCAGGACCCTACTTTGGGTCCTGACCCCAACTGTGGGAAACACTGGTCTATATTGTTATAAAAAAGGAGGTACATTTTCTTAAGACATTTGTTGTGTTTACTATGTTCCACTGTGAATAAAATACGAGATTTGTAAATGATTGCAATATTATTTTAGTTACACATTACACAAAATCCAAATTACTTTTTAGAACTAGCTTAGTACTTTATCATGCCTGACAAAAGAAGCCTTCATCTCTTCAAAATAAGTTCCATAAAAGTCCCCAATGRCTAATTTTATCAAAAAGTAATAAACAGTCGGTGACATTGGAATGCCTTTAAATATTAAGGAATATTTCTGAAGCTGCACAGATAAATCAGCTGGCCGATATATTATCACCAATTTCCTTAATTTTGGGAGATCAGCCGATACTTAGATAAGATCGGTGGAAAAGGTGGCTTCTCGTTTATCTTCAGAGGTCTGAAAATCAGCCACTGTTCCCTTCTGCTCTGTTGTGAGCTCTACCTAATRTCCAGTTAAAACATGTTTGCATTGTTTCAAGGGTTTTGTTGAATGTTTTTCAATAAAATATGATTGTAACATTGAGGCTATTATGTGACCTTATAATACCTGACAGTGTCAGCTATTTAAAAAATCGGTATGGGCCAAAATTGGAATCGGCAGGTCAGACTTTTTAAAGATCTGTGATCGGACAGAAAACTGCAATCGGCGCTAAATATTTCACAAAACAAAATGCATCAATTAGTAATGTGTAACTTGGTGTTGCACTTTGAGGACTTACATCCATTTTACTTGCTGCGATATCCTGATCGTAGTGCTCCATCATGTTGGGAAAGAAAGTCATGTTGTAGGGCATCCCTATGCAGCGATGCACCTTGATAGGCTCACAGGTGAACAGGCTGTGGGACGTGCAGCTCCTGACCCACATCAGAGCCACGCACACCCACAGTGCTTCTTGCATCGCCATTGCAACAGCTGACTGGGAGTGAAAGTGGGCTCTTATGTGAACTGGAACAGGTTTCTCTTTGGCTCTGGGTGAGGATACGGTGTGTTGTCTCAAACAATGTTGTTGTTGTTGTTTTTCTCTCCTGTCATCCACAGATCAGTTCTTCTGGAGACATCTTTGTGACCTCTGCAACAGCTGAAACGCTCTCATCACTGATCAGCAGCACATCATCCCTGTAACAAATGTGACAAATCAGATTTTCATTCGTATTTACACGGCTGTTTCTTGTTGCACTTAACCAACAACCCAACAACAAAATACTTTTTTTTATCAATCTGTCATACACTGATAAGTCATTCAAATACTAAAATAAAGAAGTGTCTCGTGAATTCAGTGCAGGAGTCCCTCGGGTTCCAAAGGATCCGGTTTGGGAAGCAGTTTTTACAGACATCAATCAGGACTATCCCTGTGTGTATGCATTAACACAGGAATCCTCAAGATCATAGCTGATTCAGGAGAATAAGTCTCAGCATGTTGGACATTAAACTCCACATCAAAGAGTAATAAAAACACACATACACGCACCYAACGTTGTGAAAGAATGCGAGTAATACTGATTTTTAAAAGCATTAAAAGGTTTAGCTGATGGTGATTATATTTACATATGAAATCTCAGAAACTTGATGGCTACCAGAGGTAAACACTCCGAGTGACCGATCGAAGATCATTTTCGACACGTTTCGTTGACTTTACCACAATAAGCAGGCACGAACTGTGAATAAAACACAACTGTGGCGTCGTAATAATTTTACTTAGACTCAAAATAGACGACTTAGTTCACAGCAGGTACAAAGCTGTGTTTTACTGGGAAAAAGTAGTCACGGAGTGCGGGGAGAAAGTGTAGTCAACATCCCTGCTTCAGTCTATGCCCTGCTGGGACCGGGCCCCGCGTCTACTTCGGTGGTGGAAAAGTAGAAACAAGGAAGAAACGGTGGGTTTACAAACATGAAACAAAAAYACTTACCGCCAGCAGCTTGTGGTTTATTCACCAGCCTACAACACGAACTTGTCGGAGTGCTTCTGGGAATGTGAGAGCGTGTTTTCGTGGTCGAACTCCGAGTGGTCCCTCGGGTTGAGTTCGTATCAGCCAGACCTGAACCGACGATGCCTTCAGGTGCAGTTGGAAATGTGCGCACTCTGCTCTCATGCGATATATCAGAGGAAAGGAAAATGTTTTTAAAATGCTTTATTATAGATGTATTGTCTTTTACAGCGTGTTATATGTTTATGCACACATGTATGTAAGCTTAACACTTTTCAAGACTTTTAAAGTGTGAACGTTGATTCGGCATTCTACTTTTTAAAAACTACTTTGAGTTTAGAACCAGCTTTTTGCTAGTTGTAGTTAGCATTTTGTCACTTTTAACTTTTAGCCTTTGCTATATTTGGCTACTGTTTTGCAACTTGTAGTTTTTAGCTACCATCTTGTTATTTACATCTATGTTTAAATATTATCACATTAATTTACAATAAAAAAGTCTTGTTTGATTGAATCTGGTCTGATGTTATTCATGGAGTTCCGCAGGGTTCAGTGCTTGGACAAATACTCTTTACATATATTTCCATTAGGTAAGCATTTAGCCCATTGGATCGCATGTGATACATTTTTATTGTTATACTGATGATGCTCAGTCATATTTATCCATGAAACCTGTTGGATCCAATCAGTTACTTGGACGACTCTTGATGGTTTTAAACTCAGACAGAACTTGTGGTTTTTTGGACCTGGGTGTTTTAGGGACACATTTTGCAGCCTCTCACTTCCTCTCTGGGTGTCGTTTATATGGCCTCCAGTTCTAATTTCTAATGCAAAGACCCTTGGTGTTACTTTTGATCAGGATGTCATTGAACCAGCCATCCACTATCTTACAGCTTCTTTCATTCCAGCTCTTGTTCCCATGAAGGGTATATATATATATATA